GCAGCAGATTGGCTGTTTATTGTTAGTAATTTATGATATCATTAGAATCGTTAGATAACGTTTGAGAAGTTAAGCATCGTCGAACCACATCAGTACTGAGGTTGGATACAACTTGGGAACCTGTGGTGCTGTAGTATTTTTGCAGATTTCATTGCACCAGATTTGTGTGGCCATACTATTGAATGCTGTTCAAATTCAACCTCACAAATGAAACTTGATAAAACCATTGACTGTACTTTTACAGGATCCACTTCAAAAAAACATTATATTTTCTTAACAAGATTCTTGTATTATTTATTTATTTTGTTATCGGACAGTTTATTTCAAGTTGACAACTTGGAAAAGTGACAAGTTAATTTAAAAAAAAATCTTTGCAAGATGTTAAATTCTTTCCACAAGAGAGAAAGAGAATATTCTGATGAAGAGGATACAACAGTAGAAGGAAACAAGGATGACCAAGCTGATGAACCTACCAGTGGCCCAACTCACTTTTTTATGCCAGAAACCTATGAACAAGCTATTCCGAAAAAGAAAAAGCTAATGGACTATGTTAATATTGATATTGAAAACAAAGTACAATTGCCTGAAGCAGAGAGTAGGAATGCAATTGAACACTACCTCACAACAAATGTTGGAGCATCTTACTGTAAAAAGATTGGTGAGGGAGGAGGTGGAGATGTTTATCTTGTAAAGAAGGGAAACACCATGAAAGCAGTGAAACACATTCGCAGTTTTAGTAATGAATATAGTAGATTTGATGAGGTATTTCAAATTGCAAAGTTAAAGCACGACCACATTATTGAAATTGATGATTATTATTTGATTAATAATGAATTTTGCTTCGAGATGGACTATTATGAAAAGGGCTCATTGGAAACATATAAGAATAAGTTGACAGTGGGTCAACTATTTCAAATAGCATGTCAAATTTCAAGTGCTATTAAATATATTTCAGAACAGGAACTATGTCATCGAGACGTCAAAATTGCTAACATACTCGTGAAGGAAATTACTGATTCTAATATTTATGTAGTATTGACAGACTTTGGAGTATCTTTTAAGAAAAACTCATACAAGCCCTACCAATTCAAAACTGGAACTGAGCAATATTACGATCCAGAAATTGAAAAATACTTTAACACCGAAAAAAGAGGTTTACTAGAGTTTCCTTTCAAAACTGAAACTGATTTGTACGCCCTAGGTGTAACACTTGAACGATTATCCAACAAAACCACTATCAATAGTACTCCTCTTTTGAAAGAAATTATTACTAGTCTTACAAATTCAACTCTCCCAACAAGAATGAAAATGATGAATGTATTGGCTGATATTTCACTTGCAACTACCATAGCATTTAAAGATCCAAAAAACAGAACGCAGTGGGATAAGTACTTGCATGCTTGTGTTATGAACCCAAATTGTTTCATATTTTGCCCTTACAACAAAAATAAGCGATTTATTTACAAAGTATTGGATATCAATCACCATATTTTCGAAATGGTTCCTGACGATTTGTTGGATGAAAATATAGTTATAAAGTCAATAAGAGATGTCAGATCAGTATTAATATTTCAAAACAGAAATAAGGCTTGCATAGATAAGTTCAAGTCTTTAATTTCACACCTCATAGACGTTCATGTACTTAGAAATGTACAATATAATACAGGAGAGAGAATCCAGACAGAGATGGAAAAGTTAAGTGAGAGTCAGTTGGAAATATTGGTATATTATAACTCTCGTTTTTTTAAATATTTTCCGATCAAGTACACATTGAATCGAAATATTGTATTTTCATTCATCAAAAAAGTGGAAGAATGTTTCCAGCATTGTAGTTACCGAGACGATGAAGAAATAATTCAATATGTACTAGAGAAAAATCCAAAGTTTATCACTTTCATCAGTTTTGAGTTAAGATTTAAATATGAACAACAATATGCAAAGGAAATTTTGGAAGTGGATCCGTCTTTTTATTCATCCTTAAGTGAAATTAGTTTAAAAGATAGATTATTTGCCAAACTTGCAATGAAAGGCTGCAAGTCACAACGTGATTTTGATTCAAATTTTGATTGTCTACCTGAAGATCTTAAAACTCAAGATTTTTTTATAGAGATAATTACAGAAAATTCCAAGACTTTCCATAATTTGAAGAACCATTTGGATCATGACTCATTGGTACAGGTAATAACACCTAGTTTATATTTTACTTTGGAAGATAGAAGAAAAATGGATCGAGATATTCTCAGAAAAATATTATCAGAGAAGTTTTCAAGTGAAGAAATAGAAAAAATATTGAATTGTTTGAGTGAAAATTATTATCACTCACATTTCAAACAGGAATTGTTTGAAAATATTTCAAAAGAAAGCGTGTTAGATTTAATATTGTTGGGTGTACCACTGCCTGAGTGTGTCTACTATCAACAGACGCAGATTTCATATTGGAAATTATTACTCGTACCAAAAAAGGGTATTTTACATCAAGTTTTTTGAAAGATTCTACAATTAATATTTCCACATTGGTTTGGATTTTATTAAGAAATTGTGCCTTGATAAACAGGGTTTCTCTCACTTGATTCATGCCATTGAAGTTAAAGAACAAGGAAATGAATTGATGCAAAAATGTTCAGATGACATTGAATTGGTAAATCAAATAATTGAAATATCTCCTGATCTATATGAAAATCTATCATGCAATAATTTAAAAAATAATGAAATAATAATTGAAACTTATCTGAATCATACCTACTATCCTCGATTATCCAAAGATTTAAAACTTGATGATGAATTCCAAGCAAAGCATTTAAAAAAATTAATTGATTCAGGATACATTACAAAACCAAATAGAGAATTAGTAAGGAGTGGAATATTTAAATCAAAGGATATAGGTTTATTGCTTTATTTGGAATCCAAGGATTTAGACGACAAAGAATTTATGCTTCCAATATTAGAGAAATTTCCTCGTGCTTATTTGAGCTGTAGATCCTTATTAATAGACAAGGAAATAATCAAGATGGTCATTCGTAAAAATGATGAAATTTATGAAGATCTCGATACTACTTTTCAAAAAGATGAGGAAATATTATCTGTCCTTAATGAACCAAAAAGTTCCATCGATTCAATAATGGCAGAAGTTAATGATAATACTTCTGAGAAATAACTTGATAAATGTATCTGCTTGGTACTTTCAATCTTCGTTTCCCTCTTGTCCATTTCACTTCTGTATGTTGCTTGTTACTTTTTGAAAAAGACAAATGAAAATGACAGGTAAAGATGTTAAGTGGAATGTAAAAGAATAAGAGTTGATGAAGGAACTTGTTAAAATCAAAAAGAATCACCCACCAATCACTAAATCATAGCCTTCACACTGTAGGATGGTCAGATTGCAGAGCTGCATGAGCTAACAGTGAGTGAAATCTGGGATTAAAATATTAATACTCATCTATAAAATCCTCTTCTTCATCTTCCTCTTGGATGAGATCGAAAGAATTGGTATCAAGGGATGGGAAAGATTCATCATCTTCCTCTTCTTCCTACTGTGCCCAAAATCAGCCAATTTGATAGTTCCACTCTTGGTTTCTATTAAAATATTACCTCCCTTGATGTCTCTGTGGATAATATTCTTATCATGTATTTCAAACCAAACAGTGTTTGTCTTGTATATTGTCTTACTACACTTTCATCAAGTTTGCCAACATTTTTGAGAACGACTTCCACCATCTATCAACTGTGATTCGATCCTAAATAGTAGTAAGCAAATATGTAGATTACTGAGATAAACTGGGTAGTTTCCATCATGTTATTACAACGACAATTTTTGAATTTTTCTACAATATTTCAATGAAAGATTCCTCACCATTGAATAGTTCATGCACAGCTCCTTAACTGCTGATGAATGATGATAATTCAGAGCTTTCAGTAATAATTTCGTTATGACCTCTTCTCCAAATAATCACATCTACAATTCATCAAGTGGTAAATCATCTACTAACTTGCTGTATTCTTGAATAATTCTAGTGTAATAAGTTGTTTCCACATCGAACTCAGCCAAGGAATCCAAAAACTTCTTATCATGTTCACTAAA